CGATGCTCAGTTAAGAACTAAATTCCTGACTTTGTATTTTACTTGGTTGCTCACTTGTAATCAATATAACTCGACATGACCCCTATATGTAACAGCCCAATTTTCACATATTGTTTGAGGGCCCAAAGGCCCAAGGGTGATTTAGTAGCCCAGAACGGGCCGTTCCCAAATCGGAACGGGCCGTTCCAAACGACTAAAATGAGAGTGATTTTGTATCCCAAAACGTGTCGTTCCCAAACTGGAACGAGCCGTTCCAAAATACAAAAATTGTCTACAAATTTTAGATGGGAACGGGGCATTCCCAAATTGGAACGGGCCGTTCCCAAATTGAGAACGGGCCGTTCCAGAGTTAAGAACGGGCCGTTCCAAAATATGACTGTTGTGAGTATTAAATGCACCCCAGAACGGGCCGTTCTGGTTTGAGAACGGGCCGTTTTGGATGTGATTTTCAGTCATGAGTTAAGGGTCTAGAACGGGTCGTTCCGGCGAAGCCTGATGCCTATAAATAGAGCGCTCTGTCACTCCCAAAAAGCACACCTCTCATTTTTTGATTTCTTTTCTTCTGCTCTCTCTTCTTTTCCTCTACTTCCTGCTTCAGACCGAGGGGAACCCAGCGAGGGAGACCAACCAGATCTTACGTGGGTTTAACTACTACTTATCAAGGTACGGGGGAAAAGGAGATTATTTGTATCCAAAGTTACATGAGGGAATTGGGTAGAAGAGGAAGCTCGTAGGATTATGAGTAATTTTATAATTACTTCTGTTTGGAGGATTATTGGTCTTATGTGATTCTGTATATATTTAGGATTATGAATATATATTTAGTTTGTAAGAATGATGATTTGGGAGAGAGAACGAAATTATAGAAAAGTGCCTGTAGGCTAGGTTTTGGAAAAATTGGATTATTTCTATTTGAGAAATTGATGATCCCATTAGATTCGGTATATGTTGAGGATGAGAAATATATATTTAATTTGTAAGAATGATGATCTGGGAGAGAGAACGAAATTGTAGAAAAGTGCATGTGAGTTAGGTTTTGGAATAATTGAGAATTTTACTATTTATGTTAAGATTATATTAAATTGCTAATTCTATTGATTATTATATTAATTTATGAATGTTATTGTTATATTATTTGATAAAATTGATGATCTAGGTGAGGATTCATGGTGAATTACTTGAGGGGTATGTGAACCACCATTTTGTGTGGATTGTGTATGTATTGTGGAATTGAGATGTGGATGTGGATGTGGATGTGAATGTGGATGTGAATGAGAATGTGATTGTGGTTCCTCACACTTGTGACCAGGGGTGGCACGACCTTAGGCAAGAAATGCTACAGGCGTGACCTTGGCATAGTATGGGATGGGTGATTCCTCATGCTTATGTCGGGGGTGGCACGACCTCAAGCAAGAGATGTTGCAGGCGTGACCTTGGCACAGTGTAGGATGTGTGATTTCTCATGCTTATGTCAGGGGTGGCACGACCTTGGGCAAGAGATGCTACAAGTGTGACCTTGGGATAGGGTGGGATGTGTGAGGCAATTAATGCTTATGTCGGGGGTGGCACGACCTCGAGCAAGAGATGCTACAGGCGTGACCTTGGCATAGGGTTAATTGCAAGATTTGTGATGGATTGGATTGATTGTGAATTGTGATGTGAAGATGTTGCGTGATTGATAGAATTAGGATAGATAGAAATGCTTGTAAATACTTTAATAAGTAATGAGTTATGATGAGACGATATTGTGGATTTTTCTTGTGTGCTTTTCATATAGATGTTTTCTTTTCTCACCGTATAATTTGTGGATGTTTTAGGTGAGGAAGATCCGGCTATGAGTGGCATCTAGAATGCCAACAGTTGAGTTATGGGTATGCTCTGATATTGTGACATCGGGGCAAAGGACTTCTAGGACATGAAATTTATTTGTAAATGGAGTTGTACTTATTATTTTGAAAACATTTTATAACCTCTTATGTTTTATTTTCCAAGTTTCATTTTTAAAATATTTTGGATATCGAAGAATGTTTCAAAAGGTTTTTATGTGAACCATTTTACCAACTTTGAAAGTTTATTTTTCTTAATTTAATTACATTATTACAATGTATGTGTTGGGGTAGTAAGGGTGTCACACTATACTTTGGTCGCTTGTGTCTCGTCCATTCCACACACGGTACCAACAAAGTCCTAGAGGAGAAACAACATAACATCCACTTCAATGGTCAACTTTTCAAGAAGGATTTTTAGCAAATTGGGTTATTGGAGCACCATAACACAATATTCACACAATGACATATGCAACTTTCAAAAGTCTCTCCTCTAGTTTTAAGTGGTCAACATAGCTCAACAACACGACAACTCTTTATAGATTCACAACAACAAAATCAACGTATACAACTTTACATATCACAACTCAATCATCAAGCAACTTATATTCAACTTTTTAATCAACATGAATCTCAACAACACATCATACTTTCAACATAACTATAGAGTCAACACGCATCTTACAACTCGTATCTATTTCTCAACTAACAACTCACAACAAAATCATCACATACTACTTCATCATTGTAACCCATTCATCATGTCTTCATTTAACAACTTAAAATAACTATTCAACATTTCACCAATTATACATCATATCTTCTTCAACAACTAACCCTTGCGCTACACACATTATGCCCGACGTCATCGAAATAATGAGCTCTTTGTTTCATCCACGCCCAACATTACACAATTTGTGTCTGACATGGCTAAGGTAGAGGCCCCCTAAGTCTCATCTGACGCCACCACCTTAACACCTAGCAAAATCCAGACAGAGAGCTATGGCTTGGCCACGCGAGGTGCCACTCAAATTTGGGCTTGATGTCACCAAGTTAAAGAGCTCTCAGGGTTTCCACACCTAGCGCCACTCAACCATGCCCTATGCGTCCTAACCCGACATGAGTCTCTCTCCTCACACCTAACGCCACCAATTTTGCGTTCGATGTGATCAAGATAGAGAGCCTTGAGTTAGAATAGAGCTTGACACCTTAAAGGCGTGTCTAATGCAGTATCAGGATTCTGCATATGAAGAATCTAATTTTGAGTCAAAACCTGAAAAGTAGCAAAACTCCAACACATGTAACAAGGAACAATGATTTTACCCAACACAAGCAACTCAAATTCAACTCAAAAACCAACATGTAACAACAATTCAACTAAAATCACCACATTCTCCATCAAGAACATAAAACCCCAATTTTCACTACTCAAAATCTTCATTTTTACTCCATTTTGAATTTCAAAGAAATTCATGCAACAACCACCCATGCATTAATCAACAAATAGACAATTATACTCGAGAGAAAAAATCTAGCTTCCTTTGCCTTAAGGTAGCTCAGTTCCAAGGTAGAAGAAATGAAGATCGGGACTCCGCATGAAATCAACTACTTGATTCAAGGTTCCCACCACATGAATCACAACAACACAACTTAAAGAAGGATTGGAAGAAGAATCGAAGAAGATTGAGAGAAAAGAGAGCTCATGGACTAGAGACCCTCTCTAGAATCCTCTCTTTATAAAGTTAAGGAGAAAAATTTATGAGACTATTCAAAATAAAAACCTTATATACTTTTTCCTCTAGGGTCTAATTGGACCTCTACCTAGGGAAACCCAGTCTCAACATCATTAAAACTTTAAAGAGATTCTCAGACCCCTGAATCTTTGAGCACTAACAACTTAACGTTAACATAAAATAATTATGGGTAATATAATACTATCATAGCTTATAGTGTTACATCAGTTTTTTAATCCTTTAGAGAAACTTCACTAAAATAAATTTAACATCAGACTCAAAAAATTAAATTAATATCTCTATCAAATTTATAGAAAAGAAATGTTACTATAAAAATTAGTGACAAGGTCTAAAATTATTTTAAAAACATTTATCTTAAATTATTTGAATTAAAAAAGACTAAAAAAATAAATATAAAGACTAAAAATGTCTATTTTAAATTATAAGAACTAAAAAAATATTTTAATTTTTTATTTATCTTCTTTTATATCAAAACTGCTTATAATTAATAAAATTAATATCTTATTATGTTGTTACAGTTTAATATTATATGAAAATCTCATGAAAAATTAATATTACCCAGAAGATTTATTGCAGAGAGATATCATTTAAAAAAAAACAAAATTATTATGTGGAAAATTTATGACGAAGAAAATAAACTTCGCGTAATTTTTCTTATTTATACACATAACAAATAAATTACGTGAATTTCTTTTACAAAGTTTTATACGTGAAATATTTTTTATGAAAATTTATGAAAGAAGTTTTAAAGTAATTTTATTATTTATATTCATTTCAAAATTATTCATAATTAATAATTAATATAATTAATATTTTATTACATATTTAAAATTTTAATTTGTTATAATTAATGTGTTGTTTTTTTGGTGCGAAATCATGAGAGGAAATAAGATTACGAAGAAAATTTATTGCATGAAAATATTATGGGAAAAGAAAAAGAAATTATTATATATATATAAATTTTACGATGAATTTGTTTGTTTCATTATAAGTAATATAAGATAGATCAGATAAGATTTATTATGTTATTATAGTTTTAATTGTTATAATTAATTTTTTTTTTCTTGCACAATCTTGTGGAGAAACAATATCACGAATAGAATTTATTGCATGCAGATATTATAGAAAAAGAAATAGTATGTAAAAAATTTATAACAAAGTTGTTTGTTTTATTATAATATATAGAAAATATATGATAAAATTATTCGATTCATTATAAGTGAGATATTGTCAGGTCTCACAGTCACAGGTACATATCAGTACTTTAATTTTGAATTTTATGGGTACCATAAAAAAAAAATTATTTAGAGTTTTTATATATTTCTGTTTGTTAGTTGTTACTATCTCCTGACGTGGCATTTAATTTAACGAAATTATAAATGACTAACCTTATTGAATCCTGCATACCTTATCACTTGGACACTCGCTACATTGCACGCAAACACACATCCCATGGACCTCTTCTCCTTCCCCTTCCTCTTCCTCGCCCTTCTCTTCCTCTTTCTCTATGCCAAACAAAAAACCCCCAACAACCACAAAGGCTTCAAGGACTACCCTCTCCTCGGAACCCTACCGGACTTTCTCAAAAACCGACACCGCTTCCTCCAATGGAGCACCCTAGTCCTCCGCGACTGCCCCACCCACACCGCCGTCTTCTCCCGCCCCTTCAAGTTCCGCGGCGTCATAACGGCCAACCCTGACAACGTCCAACACATGCTCAAAACCAACTTCCAGAACTACCCCAAGGGCCAACGCTTCATCCACCTCCTCCAAGACTTCCTCGGCCAAGGAATCTTCAACTCCGACGGACACCTCTGGAAGCTTCAACGCAAAATCGCCAGCCACGAATTCTCCACCAAATCGCTCCGTAACTTCATCGTCCACGCCGTCACGCTCGAACTCCAAACGAGGCTTCTTCCGATTCTCGCCAAAACCTCCGAATCAGATAGCCTCCTCGATTTGCAGGATCTTTTAGAGAGATTCGCCTTCGACAACGTCTGCAAGGTTGCCTTCAACGTCGACCCCGCCTGCCTCGGCGGTGACGGCACCGCCGACGCCGAGTTCATGCGCGCGTTTGAGGACGCGGCGGTGCTCAGCTCAGGGAGGTTCATGAGCGTTTTTCCCTTGGCGTGGAAGACGAAGAAGCTCTTCAACTTGGGAACGGAGCGGAGACTGAGAGAATCAATCACCACCGTTCACGAGTTCGCTGATACAATCATACGGTCAAGATTGAACAACTCCAAGGAGGAGGAACATACGATGGACCACCAAGATTTACTCTCGCGCTTCATCAGAAGCGAGGACCACACGCCGGAGTTTCTCCGCGACGTGGTGATAAGCTTCATTCTGGCGGGACGCGATACGACGTCGTCCGCGCTGAGCTGGTTCTTCTGGATTCTCTCTTCGAAACCCGACGTGCGGAGGAAGATTCGCGAGGAAATCGAAACGGTGCGTTTTGGTTTTGGCGATGGCGCGTTCGGGTACGAGGAGTTGAAAGAGATGCATTACTTACAAGCGGCGATTACCGAGACTATGAGGCTGTACCCGCCAGTGCCGGTGGACACGAAGGCGTGCCTTGACGACGACGTTTTGCCGGATGGGACTAGGGTTGGGAAGGGGTGGTTCATTACTTACCACACGTACGCGATGGGGAGATTGGAGAGCGTGTGGGGGAAAGATTGTACGGAGTTTAGGCCCGAGAGGTGGTTGGAGAACGGGGTTTGGCGTGGGGAAAGTCCGTTTCGGTTTCCGGTTTTCCATGCGGGTCCTAGAATGTGTTTGGGGAAGGACATGGCTTATATTCAGATGAAGTCGATCGCTGCTTCGGTTATGGAGAGGTTTGAGGTTGAGGCGGTGGATAAGGACACGTGTCCCGAGCACGTCTTGTCTTTGACGCTGAGGATCAAGGGAGGGTTGCCGGTGAGGGTAAGGGTGAGGGATGCGTAACACAAGATCAGAGGGGTCTAGGGCCAACACTTTTTTTCGTCTAGACAAAACTGCATGTAAGAAGGGTAAGGGTTGTGACTTGTGAGTACATGATATAGAATACAATAGTTTGATTGAATTCAATTCTAATGTTCTGCAACTACGTACTTGTAATTTCTGCTGTTTTCAAGAAATAAATAATCTTAATTAAAAATTAATTAGAGTTTCACGTGTTCAACGGGTGCTAATTAATTAACGATAAAACTTATATATCTTATATATATATATACATAGAGTTAATCACCTGTACACAAATTTTTTTACAATAATCAATTATATCTTTTAATTGTGTCATATTATTGTAAACACATTTACTTTTAACAGTGACATGACATAGTTAAAAGATATAATTGGTTGCCAATGTAAAAAAAAATTTATACTCACAATGTATAGGTGATTAACTCATATATATATATATATAATAT